TGGAGAGGACGAGTGGATAAAAGGATACGATGTTAGGCCGTTGGACTGGTATCAGCCCCCGAACGGCGGCGGCCGGACGATCGAACGACCGGGTGTAAGTATTTATGATTTATTATACATCTAGTTACAACATATATGCATAAAGTTACAACATATATGATGCGTGTAGACGCCTAGGATCTCGCTGACTCCGTGGCCACTAGGCAACTAGCTAGTAGATCATATGCTGACTTTTCCCAACGTCCTCGACTAACAAACTACGTACTTTATCTCTTGGTTTTTAATGTACTAGTGTCCCATTGTGAGCTCACCACTGTATGACGCCGACTTCGCATCCACTACGATTCTACGAAAAATGGCAGGTTGAGACGCACTGCTAGCAGCAATGCATCGTGGTGCCATCCCAAGTCAAGTTCATTTTCAGTCTGTGTTACAGGCACGTCATCAGCCACGGGACACCGACGTGACTTCCGGTAGAGTGAAATAACTGATAAACACACGAGCATTGCACCATCTATGACATTGCACCATCGCATGTCAAGTTCATTTTCAGTCTGCTAGTAGTCAACGTTGTACCTTGGAGATCGTTTTGAAGGAGTGAACAGACGAGTAAGCTACTACTACCTTCATCCCTTAAAAATATGACATTTTAGCATTCAAATTTTGTAACAAAATTATCATTCTAGCCTATCATAAATCCAATAGGACATCAATATTTTATTTAAAGCATGCTAATGAGACCAAGGAATACAAACTAATATGGTTGCTTGCGTACGGATCCTTAGGAGAAAGACTAAGAATACAGTCCACTGCTAGCTGTATAAACATTTACAACTCATTATCAGCCCATCCATATAAGGCCTTGTTTGGATGCATGTATATTCACTTCAATCAACACATGTGGATTGAGATGAATACATGCGCATCCAAACAAGGTCTAATACTCTTTGTGTAATACATGGTCCAAGTGGAATTTCAAATAATAGGTCATTAGGAGATACTTCGTCTTTAATACGTGGTCCATTTTTTTCTCTCAATGAGTTTCTTGAAGAACTCGTGCATCATTCGGCTATAAGTTTACGGCCAGTTCTTTTCTCTTTCATCTACTTCAGTATAAAGTCCACTCTCAGCCCTTTATTATAATTGCTCTAATATAGTAACTCTTATTGCTCCTAGTTATGTGTGGTTCTTGATGGTGGTTACCAAATCATCATCCCCATTTTGAAGGAAACGCCTATAATAAATAGGGGTATTAAGATCATTTTCTTTATATTTATCTGTATAAAAGATTCTAAAATGTTTTTTTTGTTGGACGGAGAGAGTACCTCTGTATAAATGTATGACGTCCAGGAGTATCTCTTTGTGTAAATGTATTCATACCGATATAACTCCATTGGATTTGTTTACTATCGTAATTTTTATAATCATTTTCACACAAAAACTAGCGATCAATGTTGCATCTTGGAGATGGTTTCGGTGTCCAAAAGTTAAAAGATCATACATTTATGTATAGGAGGGAGGGCAAATTTTTTACAAAACTATGCTCTTTGTTATAGCTTGGACTTACTGAATTTTGCGGTTCTGCCGAGTACAAAAAATGTTTCCAGGCACGTCCAAGTGGAATTTGAAGTTCTAGTTCTAGATTTAGTAAAACTACAAAAGGCAACTCAACCGTGGTACTCACTCCTTTGTACTCATAGTTCAGCAAATGCATGTCTGTGTCATGACTCGTGATATTGACACACCGTTTTTTTTTAAACGGACTGCAAAAGCTTTATTGACACACCGAATTGACATTCAGAACTTACAGATGCTTTTTGAACAGCAAAAGAATGCAGCCTTTTCACTTTACGTCCAAAGCGGAACAGGGGAGATGCATCATGGCAAGATTCACAGCTTGCAGTCCCGGGCAACTTTTGGCCTCTTACGTTACTCGTGAACTCAAACATGCATCGCCAACGGATTTTTGATGGCATCATTGCCCACTACAACCTCCTACTCTCTCCTAGGTTGGGTTTAATCTGGTCTAAACGTGGCTGCTGCTATTATGCCCATGCGCTTAATGCTTTTATCTGTCAAAAGCTAAATTTCATTCAAAGATTAAATACAGAGTACAGAGATGGGGAAAAATGCTTTATTATTAAAAGTTTTCCGGGGAATACGTCCAAGACTCACAAGAGAACAGACTCACAAGAGAGCAAGCAAGAGCCAGGAATCGAAGCTTGTCTTGCTTTCTTTATAAAATTATCACCTACTCTATTTGTGTCTCTGCCAATTTTAATAATAGAGTGCATCATGTTTGTTGTGGTAGCTAAAAAGTCCACTAGGATTGGCCACAAAGATCAATGACCAGGATTGTGAAGGAGGCCCCTCCTCTTGGCCGCAGTCGACAGTACTTCATTATGATAAAGATTAGCCTTTGAAGATTTATAGTGCGGTAGCAAGCTTATTAGCTGCCAGCTACATTGCTGATGCTTTGGCCTCTATGGGTTGCAAATACGTTGAATGGCCACCAGAAAAAATATATATATTCCACTGCAAAGATTATGTGATGGAGAAGTGAGGATGAAGAACAAGTGAGCACTTGAAAAAACAAATAGCCCCTGCAAAGCTGCACTTGAAAAACAAGTGAGCATCATTTTCAATTAACCTGTACTGTGAACAAGTTCCTGCTATGCTTGGAATTATCCTGTGAATTCGACTAACGGTGTCTAAATCAAGCCTCGACAACCACCAAGCGAAAGTCTTAACTCTAGGTTGCATAGTTTTATTAGCCTAAACTGCCGAAGAATATGAATAACCTAAGACGAAATTGTACTTAATGCTTTGTTTTTCGTCAGAGGGAAATGTTGTGGATGGATAGAGATGGTTGTTCAAAAGAATGGGTGCATGCATGCACGTGTCCTGGCGAAGCTCACCCTTAGAAGTTAGAACGGAGTGCTACTTTATTTTTTCCAAATTCTGTTTGGATTGAGATTACTAGTGTGAAAAAAAAATCCTACGTTCGAACGGTGGATTGAAATTGTTAGTTTCTTTCTAAGTTTTGCATTAGAGCTGTGCGAAGGTTTATTTATATCTAGCGGCCGAAAGCCAAAGGTGAAGAATGGGTACAAAAAAAAAGTGTGCGATATTCTACTGCTAAAACAGCTACGATGGATCATTGACCAATGAGATCTCGACACCAGCTTGCCACCAACTTACCAACCAATCCTGGGAAAGGAAACTTGAAACCAGTGAGTAGAGTAACAACCTTCTTATAAGGGCGTCCCCAACGGACCCCTTCAAATCGAAACTTAAAAAAAAATACAAGGAATCGCTACCCATGCATGATGGACGAAAAGAGAGCAGGCGTCAGTGACTGAGCTTTTCGGTTTCCGTGCGAGCCTACTGCTTACCGACCGCCTGTTCGGGAGGCCGTAAACGATCGTGGATTATTTACTACAGGTTGGTTTGGTGTGAGAGAAAAACACAGTTCCGACCAAAATTTTATGATCGTTTACGACCCAGTGAACAAACTGTGAGCTTTTCGATTTCCGTGCGAGCCTACTGCTTACCGAGTCGCTAGCGAGTCCACTTTGTGCATTCTCTCTCGTCCACGTGGAATAGAAAATACTACGTGCTAGCGATTTGATCTTCTGTTGGGGACGCCCTAAATCGCGCACATGGCACACGAGGCGGACAGCGATGGAGCACCCCAACATAACGTCATCGGAAACCGATCACATCTCGCCCAGGCATCCCCAGTCCACGTCACAGCAGCAGGGGCGGGCAGAGCACGGGCACGGCCGCCCCGCACGGTATCCTTCGGTCGGTTCACCCCCATCCCCATACCACCGCCACCACCCACCAGATTTCGCCGGATCTCCAGCCCACATGTGGACGGACTCCGCCGAGAGCTGAAGCAAAGAGCTTGGCAGCGAGCATTTCCGTCTCGCTCTCCGAGGTCCACCACGCTTGTTCTCCGCTTCCCCAGCCATTTTTATTCCCTCCCCGCGCCTCGAACTCCACTGGGCGCAGCCCCACCACCCGATCTCGGCGAGCTCCGCTTTGCTTGCCTTCTCAGTTTTCACCCTTTTTTTTCTCACCCTCTCTCAGGTCTCAGCGTCTCCTAGACGGACTTATTAAAGTGTGTCACGGATTCACGTTCCTTTTTTGTCATACTTTTTCAGCCAACAATATACTTATACTTTTTCAGCCAACAATATTTTTCTCTTACAATAAATTATCCAACGCTGCTTTCAGCGGCAATTAGCGTCTTCGTTGGACGAGGCAGAATGGCCTGGAGACGGACCTCTTCACTCCATGAGGCAATCCAAACACTGCGGCTAGGTTCGGACTTTGGATCAGATCATTCCAAGTCGACTCGTTCGCCAAACCAAATACGCCGAATGTATTGGTTGTTTCAACATAAAAACACAACCCACGAAGCCACAATACTCTAGATCATTTGTTCTAAAAAAATACTCTAGATTATTATCCAGTGTATAACTGGAGGATAATATTTATGGATTTTCGTATTCCACCTGATTATGACTAAAAAATGTATTATAAAAAAAATCCAAGTAAAGCAGACGAAGTACTGTGATAAAACAAACCACTTATAGGAAAGCAGCTCGCAGCAAAGGTGACCAGGTGCGACTATATAGCTTCGGCAATTCGCATTCTCAGACGACAATCGACAGGCAAAGAACAAGGTACAGCAAAAGTGCAACCAAGCTAACCAGCCTCAGTTTCAACACTATGGACAGTTGAGAAACTCTTCTACATGAAGTAACAAATATATTAGAGTAACAGCAAGTTCTACCACAGATACTGATTAGTCAAAGGTGCCCAAAGGTAAAGGGAACCGACCACAGGTGTACAACCAAACAATTCAGAGTGGTAGTCATTTAGAGACTTCCTTCCATGGCAAATATCTCCAGTCTGTTTTTATCAAGCAAATGGCAATAGATTAGGACTGAAGTATGACGGGTTATTACATCAAGAACAGAACCAGGTTCTCATGCACCGCTCGCATACAGGCGAGTCCACTCCTTGGCTGCAAATGACATGAAATCTCTCATTGTAAGCTATAGGAAAATCGGAGGCCAGAAGTGACAACATTGACTGATTTGTCAACTTCAATTTACCTGTTTCAACAGCTTCTACCTCATTGGCTTTCCAGTGCTTTGCAATGTTATCGGAAAGAGGGTCATCTGGATTTGGCGCACTCAGGAGAGCCTGTATACTGAAAGCCAGAACAATGTCAAGGAATAGCTAGCATGTCCGTGGATACAAAAGGCATAGAAACTGAACATCGTTCATAAAGTCATATTTTGGTGCTGCACAAGAACAAAAGAGAAACAACTCCCCTTGGCACATTTGGTTCATTAGGTTAAAAAAGAAGAAACAATGTTTTTGTAGGTAAAAACATAAAGTACGGTACACTGACACTCAGACAGATATAGAGACCTCAAAAGAACCGTTCGAATCTGAAGTGCTGGGCTCCATTTGTCCTTGAGAATGTCGAGGCATATCCTACCAAGCTGCAACAGTAAAGTCCTCTGCTGAATAACAATTCATAGGAAGGAAACTGGGCACTACAAAGGAATATGCTATATGCATGGTACCTTGTCAATGTTGGGATGATAAATCTTGGTCAGAAACCTAACCTGCAACAGCACAAGCTAAATAAGTGTCCACTGAGATTATACACAATAGAACAGTGTATTTGACTAGGTCTTAACACTTCAATGGACACCAAAGAGAAGGGGCAGAAAATAGTTAGCCCTTCTAACAGATGACATTCTTAATCCAAATACATACTACAAATCTGAGTCAGCCAAAATATGTTTGTATTGTTCAAACAGAAGAAAATCAGGTAAACAAGTAGTTAAACTAATACCACACATCATACAAAGCTGTTTGGCGATTCAAATAACTATGCAAAAGAAAGCACAAGTCAACTTGGAAAAGAGAAGTTTTACTCAAAGTTAAAATACAAACAAGATTAGCTTACAAAGTATAGAGCACAATAATGTTATAGACAATAAGCAAATTTTATAGTTACCTTTGGGGCAGCCATTGGATATTCCTCAGGTAAAAAGAGTTCAAGCTTAAAAACTCCACCTGACCAATCAGTAAGCGAAAGTAACACTATCAGGAACTAAGTATGATTACAAGGAAACCAATAAATGCTCTAAAAATAATTTTCCAGTTACAAATATCACCAGTACAAGCAAAGAATTATGGTGATTGCTATAATGCACATAATGAGATAAACACAATAATCCACTAAGCCAGATAAAAGTGAGTTCCACCATGGTTTTCAAGGCATCGCCTAGGCAATGAGACACGCTGCGTTTCTGGGTATCCAGGTCTCCACGACAAAAAAAATCAGCAAAAGAGATGGATGGAGGGACGGAGAAGATAGGAAGAACGGGAGGTGAGCTGGCCAACAAGACAAAGAACCTGCAGCCGCTGCCATCCCTGCTGGCTACAGTGCACATGGCCAGCGCATAACTTGCTCCGGTCCGCTGCGACGCAATCAATCTGAAAGGGGGCAGCCGCAGCAGTCGATCTGAGGGCATAGAGCAGGGAGGAAAGGGAAGGGAAGAGGCAGGGAGAAGTTGCGGGCAGCACCGCAGCAGCAGCAGCAGCAGCAGCGCATCTGAAGCGAGAGGCGCAGAGAGAGGAGCCCCCTTGTTATCCTCTGGCATATGGCATCACCTTGCCTCGCCTTACACATGCCTAGGCCTAGGCGACTGGAAGGGGTGGCTCGTCATGTCTCCCCTTGCCATCTTATGAACTGGTTTCCACTAGTACGTTACAGTCATTCCCTACCATTTTAGAATGGAAATCAACTAACCCGTTGTCCTAGGTGCATACTAGTAACTTCCATAGTCCTTACCTCCGAGAAAGAGATAAGCAGTGAATCTGTTACATTACAATTACAACTTACACAAATCAGATCATCACAGCATACATGGATAAGAACTGTGGGATCATGAGAGGAACAAAATATATTATTGCCTATTCATCAAAAATAGCTACAGCCTACAGACAACTATAATCTATAGTAGGAAATAAAATATGTCTTTTGTTTCCCACACAAATATGTAGAAACAGCACACATAAAACAAAGCTAGTAATGACCACCACATACTATATTAGTGCAAAACATTACTAAAATTACCTGCAGCTAATAGAATGCTGCAAATAGAAGCTGAGACTCATCAGCCACAGTATCGCCCAAAAACTAAAACTGACAAGCCAAAAGTCACCAGCCAACCAAACAATACAAGCTTACCTATGTGCACATAAACTAAAGCAAACATTTCAGCATTTCTCCCATTTCCAGAGGCATCTTTTGAAAAGAATTGTCTCGACTCGACTATCGATATCTAGAAGCACTCCAATATTACCACTCTAGTCTCTACACCACGCAGCAGGAACAGCGCATAAAAAAAATCCGAATCAGAAGCCCGCACCTTCATAGGGCGACTGCGCCGGCCCAAGGATCATAACGTTGAAGTAGCGCATGTTCTCCTCCGAGGGCGACGCGCTGATCCCCGGTGCTGCACGGACGAACGAACCAAACCAAACCATTTGACTAACAGAATCAAAACTCGGCCCTCAGAAAAAACGAAAAACTTGACGAAATCCACTGAAACAGCGAGACAGAGAGCACGCCAACCTGGCTCGCTGAGCAGCCGCTGCGTCTCCTGCACAGATCCAACCACATGGCAACCAAAAAGAGGTCAGACAAAACAAGCGAGGACACAACGAATCGGATCGGCGGCGGGCGAGAGATCTGCTCAGAGGTGATCAGATCGGGCGCGCACCTTGATGATCCGCCGCGGGAGGTTGCTGTTGGCCATCGGATCGGGGCCGGGGTGCGGGGGCTTCCTCCTCAACGAAGTTGCGGCGCCGGCGATGCCTTGAGGATGGCGCGGGGGAGGAGGAGCAGTCGGTCGGGGTGGGGAACGGGGGAAGCGGTGGTGGGTTGGACGCTCGCTATTGTACGCGGACGCGGTTTTTGCTGCAGTGGTCTTCCTGTGTTCTCTGCTTGGGTTTTATCTCAGCCCTGTCACGTTACCTCAACGATTGTGATTAATCGCAGTGCCTTTTTCAGGGTAGTGTTGTTACTTTTTTTTATAAAAAGAAAGGCATAAAGTGATGGCATGCATTATGCTGCGTTAAAGTAATATATGATTGATTGAGTCGAAAATCGCATCATGTCCATCTTGGGTTCTAACCAAATTTTTCTAAAGAAGAATTTTGACTAGCACTATTTGTAAAAAATGTATTTTCTTAAATCAAAATAACTGCACATTATGAAAGTGTTTTTACATAATCTAGAAATGTCCGTCTTGATCGGTAGTGTATATTTTTTTCTTTCAGATATTGACATTAAAAAGTTTATCATGGAACAAATCTTAGGCCCTATTTGTTTGAACTCTTGGTCACTTTTAGACTACTAACTTTTAAACTTCACCGAAGACAAACAGCTCCAAAAGCCCAAAAGCTCGCTATAATGAGCTTCTGAATTTTGGTTTTCATGAGCTTTTGGCTTTTGAAAGGTCTAAAAGCTGAGGTAAAAAAACTCTCGAAGCCCAAACAAACAGGCCTTTATATGACTTGTATTTACGACAAAACCTTGAATACTCTGAAAACAAGTGCTATTTGTTGTTGTTTGAGTAAGTTGTCAATGTTATTTTTGTAATGTCCGAACGATAAATGGTTAGAACTTGGACTTGATTTAAATCCATAATATCATAATTTCTAGTGCAATCGATACTTGTCTAACCGAATTAGAATAAGGGCTAGTTTGGCAAAGCTCCGCTCGCACCTTCTTTGGAGTTGATTCTGTGGATCCCTATGAAACAGTTAAAATGCAACTAGACTCTCATGGGGAGTCGACGAGAATCACTTCTCTATTTACACTAAAGGCTAGGAGCTAAAAAACTCACTACCCACCCCACTCCCATTTAATTGTCACTAGAATCTTCTAATATAAACTCACTTAGCTCTATATAAGTTTCTCACTTGAAGTGGAATCCTTCTTGGCATGATGTTATTTTACTACTTGTCTAATCGCTAGCTTTGGTTTTGTTTCGAGTTCTTTTAATAAGTTCTTATGATTTTTACAGCAACAATGAGGTTTTATATAACTTAATTTGCGCGATGGGCATCAATGTTCGAGCAACACCAACATCTATGTGTCGATCGACGCCTAGACTTGGGCGATGACTACACACATGCAGAAACTGTGGAGCAAATCATAGAGCGACAACAGAGCACATGATGAGAATGATGAGGAACGATGTGGGGGAGATAAGAGGATGATGAACCAAAGGAAAAGGAAGGCGATGGTAGAAGACTAGAAAAGGGGACAGCGGAGCCACGTGGGCCCTACTTCTGATGTTGATGGCACGTCAGGAGCATCCATAGGGAAACGCGAATTGGATGAGGGGGAAGATAATTTGAGACGCGTTGAAGAACTTACGATGACAATCAATTATATCAACACAAAATAAAAATCACGTGTAATTATTGTAAACCATTCTATAGATCATGGTAATTTCGCATGTAGGGTCTACTTGGTTGGCTACCAAAAACTGCCATACCAAAGATTTGGTAAGAAAAAATTGCCAAAACTAAGGCAAGAATATTTGCCATAAATTTGGCAAGCTAATGTGAGATGTTGGTAAATTTTGGTAGCCAACGAAATATCAGCCAAAATCTTGGCTTACCCAAGTTTTGATAATCAAATTTTGGTAGTCAACTAATTAGGCCTGTAACTATAAGACAACGGGGACACCCTTATCTGGGGCCTTGGCTTTAGCTTATAAGAGGATGAAGTACCAAATTAGCCCCTTGATGAGCACTGATAAAACATATACATAATAATAAGTTCTGTGAAAAAGATGTATATGATGTTCTGAACTTCTTATTGAAGCTTACAATTACAAACGTGCATTTGGAACTTTCATTTTTTACAAGCTTTGTCACTAAAACCAAGAATTGGGCCAACAAAATGGAGCGTGGGAAGGAGGAGCAATGAGAAGGAAGACGGTCCAACGGAAAAGCAAGTTATGGTCTTTTGGGGTCTGTTTGGTTACCTAGCTAGGAAATAAGCCAGGCTAGCCTTAGACTGCCTCCAGCAAGTCAAGATGGACTTGTTTGGTTGTCTATACTATCTAAGTCTGGCTAGCAACTAGTTTGTTTGGTTGGCTGGTTTAGCTTGGATAGAGTTACCTCTTCTATGGGTAGGTAACTTCACCACCTTTGAAGCAATTCGTCGAACACCTTTGAGATGAGTAGAGAGAGAGATAGAGCGGAGGAGTCTTTCACCGCTGCTCATCTGATGCGGTAGCTCCACTAACCTCGCGTAGCTTTACACAAGCTACAGTCCGTCTAGGATCCACCGCTGCTCAACATGATTTATTTGTTGGAGAATAGATAAATCAAGGGAGCAGTGAGCTTTGTTTAGTCAAGCTCAATGAAGAATAGTTTAATCCCAAAATCAAACATTTGAACATCAACAGAACAAACATCCTAGATCCATTGCTCGTGCTTGCCGCTGTCATGCGAGACCGCCGCTCAGGCCTGCCACAGTGTGTGAGCCTGGCGCTCGTGCCTCCGGCTCTGAGGGAGCTGGGGCATGTGCGAATCCGAGGATACGGGCTCTCATAGGGAGCTAGGGAGCGGACGGGGATGAGCTCCCCTGCCCTAGCTCCGGTCACCCCTATGAAAGTCCTAGTTTGGTTTTGGATAATTGATGAAACCTAGCGCTAACCTTTGTCATGAGTTGTGAGATGAGCTAGGTTGGTGCAATCTAAGTATGGAGCATGGTGGCTCTCAAGAGAAGGTGACAATCACATGAAATGTTGAGATGGCCACATGTGATGATGATCAAGTGCTCAACTTGGAAAAGAAGAAAGAGAAAAACAAAACCCTATGGAGCTCAAGGCAAAGGTATAAATAGGGACTTTGTTTCGGTGATCAAGACACTATAGAGAGTGTGATCAAATTTAGGATAGATGGCCTGTAACACCCCGGTGTTATGCCAGCATGTAGGCACTACAAATCATGCATATTGTGCATCATCAAGCATCCTAAGTATCCATGCCTAATCATGTAAATAATAACTGAAACCATGCTTCGAAACGTATGAAATATGCTCATGAAACATGAATGTTGCATACACTTGTTTAGAGTTGTTTTTGGCCTAATTATGCTTGCTAGGTTAGTAAAACATGTTTGGCTATAATTGTAAATCATCTAGAATTATTTAGCACAGTTTTTGGAGCAAATTTTGTATTCAAACTTTTGACAAAATATGCATTTGAAATCTTTATTGAAAATGGTCAAAAATCCTCCCTATTTAGCTTTTACTTTCCAATTCAAAATCTATGCAAAATTTTTAGTTGGTCCCTAAAGCAAAGTTGTATAGGATTAAATTCTAAGCAACTTTTATTTTTGGGCCATTATCAAAAGAAGTCATTTTCTTGCTCAAAGGGGTATTGAAAACTGATATTTGAAAATTCCTTGAAAATAGAAATTGAAAAATGGTTTCTCTCCTTTCTTGGGCACGCCACTTCACTTCAGCCCGCCACCAAGCCGCCCCAACGTCCACCTTCTGCTGCAGCCTTCGCCTCCTCACCCCTAACTCACGCTTTGGCTCGCTTCACACACACCCACACACATGCCGCATGCCTCTTCATTCCATGTGGCGCTGACAAGGCTGGGCAAGCGCTCATCAGCGTCATGCCATGCATGCGGCCATGACGCCGCGCCGCTTGGCAGCCCCGGCCTGCCTCACCCTCCACATGCTCGCCTTCATCTGCTGACCCCGCTGTGCTCCCCACTTACTCTCCTGCCTGCCTCTTGCCATTCATTTTGAAGCTCTGCTCTCGCTACCGCCATCGCCACCGGCTAGCTCACTTGCGGCAAATTGGCCGCCGGTGGTCCACCACGCCATGTTCAAGCACGTGTCGCTCCGCCTCGCTCCCGGCACCGGTGCTCGCTGCAGTGACACCTTTTGAGCAAGGTATAGCGGGCTTGCGCGTGTTCGCCATCACGGTCATGGCGCTGGCCGCCGATTGGCCTCGCCGCGTGAAACGCTTTCCTCCTTCCCTTCTCCATCCCATTGTGCTTGCATGTTCGGTTCGTCACCTCCTTGCGAACCTCACAAGCGCTCGCTTCGCTGTTCGGACATGGCCGGCAACGGTTGGCGTTGTTTATTATTGGCGGCGCCGGACCGTCAGAATCGCGTCGGCGTGGCGTGGCGTCTCGCCGCGGCTGAGCTGGGCCAGGATGGCCGTGGGCCGAAGCCCCGAGCCAGGCCGCCGCCCTTCCCCTTCGCTCGGTCTATACAGGCCGAAAGTGGTCGTGGGCCAGTTGTTCCCACGGGCCGGCCCAGTAGTAATAAGAAAAATACGTTTTCGGTTTTTCTTTTATTATTTGGGAAGAGAAATACTTTAGAAAATGTTTGTGTACTCATTTTGGCTCCAAATTTGTTGAAACAAATTTTGTTGGGTTCCTTGTCACCAGATCTACGTGATAAAAATATTGCATGTCATTTTTGAGATACTTTTCTGTAGAGCTTTATTTAATCCTTGATATTGCTGATATCTTGTAAAATGTGTAGTAAAACCTATATGTTTCAGAAAAATATGCTTCTAAGTGTGTTATTCTTCTTGTGTAATGTACTTCCTAGGAAAAATATATGCCATGCATGTCCTATAGAAAAAATGTGAGATGTAGTTCAAGTGCCTTTAATGGCTAATTTTTGTTATTTTTGCTAGAGAGAAAAATTTGTATAAAACATGCATGTGATAATTTTTGTACAGTGATTATTTACTGTTTAGAATCT